GATTTTTGCTAATTGGGCAGAGCCTTAAAAATCATTGGAGTTTTGAGATTCGAAGCTTATTGGAAGTTAAATAGTAGCTCTTTACAATTCCTGAACAATTAGGAAAGTTTCTTTTTAAAAAAAATGTTCAAAATGGATGATACGGAGAGGGATATAGGAGAACCTTCTTGTAAAAAGAAAAAATTAGAATTTTTGAGTGCTTATCATGTATTTAATAGTGATGAAATTTTGGAAATATTATCGTTCATTCCGAAGGATAATGTTAAATTTATTGTAATGAGTTGTGGGTTGGTTTCGAAACAGTGGAGGAATGTTGTTGTGGAGTATTCGAAACTAGATGTAACAATTGTAGATTACAAATTGTTGGAAGATTTGAAGGCTAGTCATCATTTAAACAATATTGAAACCTTACGAGTTGGTAAAATTGTACCAAATGATGTTTTTTATCAAGTTGCTGGCTTGATAAAACATTTGACGAAACTTGATGTTTGTAATTGCCAAATTGGAGCCGAAGGAGCTAAATGGGTTAAAAATTTTGAACAATTAACTGATCTCGACATTTATGGTAATCTAATTGGTGATGAAGGAGCTGTATTCATTAGTGAAATCAGTTGACTATTTTAAATATTGCAAAAAATTCAATAAGTGCCACTGGAGCCAAATTCATTACTCGACTGAACCAATTGACTAGCCTTAATATCGCCTGGAACTTTGAATTACAATTTGAAGGGATAAAACCAATTTGTCAAATAATGAAACAGTTGACCACTTTCGGTATTGGAAGAATTGCTGTGTTCGATGAGGGAGCAAAATTTATCAGTGAAGAAATGAAACAATTGACTAACTTGGATATCAACAGCAATATGCTAGGTTCAGAGGGAGCAAAGTACTTGAGTGGAATGGAAACTTTAAGAGTACTCAATATTGCTGCCAATGATATATTTGATGAAGGGCTAAATATATTAGTGGAATGAGTCAATTGACTGATTTGAGAGTACAGGGAAGTGAGTTAGGTTTCGAAGGTGTAAAACATATTAGTGGAATGAAACAGTTGACAAAACTTAATATTGGCTGGAATAAGATTGGATATGAGGGGTTACACTTTCTTAGTGAAATGAATCAATTAACCAGTATTTCCTTCGAAGTTGGCAAGGACGAAAGTTTGAAAATTGGTATTAAAGAGGCTAAATCATTAAGTGAAATGACCCAATTGACCTTCCTTAATATTTGTGGCCATAAATTAGACTTTGAACAAGCCAAACTCATTTCCTGCATGAAACCACTGAAAATCCTTCACATCACAAGCAACGACATTTCCACTGAAGAAGAAAAAACACTGCACGATATGAAACAGTGGGAATGTTTAAAAATTTACAAACGTTCCAAATAAATTAACAATGTCTCCCATTCATCATTCCTTACTGTTTCATCAAAATCCCTTCTTAACAATATCTTTAGATTTTTCAGAAATGAGACATTGAATGTTGATGATTTACTTCCTCCGATATTTTCAAACGTTTTTTTTGATTTTTTAAAAAAAATGAAAAGAAACTTTCCCGCCAATTCTCTCGTAGTTTTTATATTGTTGGTGGCTCTTGCTTCATCATCATTCCAACAACAAGAAACCTCTTCGGTAACAGTCTATAGTAAGAATAATTATATTCTCAATTCGGAGGACTATTTGAAAGGAGCTGCTGTTGCTAGACTTGTCGATTCTGTTCAATTGAATGGCTGGTCTCAACTCAATATTTCAACCAATGCTAATTTATTTAATGATGAAGAACAAATGTATGCTGCTGGTATGGCTGAAGGATTAGTTTCCTCCTATCAAACCTGGCAACTTCTTCAAAATCAAATTTATGATTGGAATTTCACGGAAAGTACTGGAAGTGTGAAGAGAACTCCATCATCAAATTATGTTTATCCAAAGGGAATTATTAATTTCCTTACACAAAATAATGCTTGGATGAGAAAGGAAGCTATTCAAAGAAAGGATCATTGCAAGTTTTGGTATCATGTCAATTTGATGATGACTCAATTTGATGGTCTTGTGGATGGTTTTTTGATTGGACAACAACGTGATTCTCGTATTCCTGCAAATAAGTATTTGGATTGGTTTGATTTGTTGGTTTTGCAAGGTATGTTTTTTAGTATTATTGTTAATGTTTAATAATTATTTCAATGCATTTCGCATGATAATTTTGTTATTGGATTCGGAATATTACATTGGAATATTGATGATTTTAAATTGAAATTACATGAAAATGGTTGAAATATATGGAATAGCTGCTGGTGATATGTACACACTTGTGGATGCTTTTGGAAGCTCATTGATGAAGTCTTCTCTCAAGACTCGTGCTGAAGCTTTTGCATCTGGTATTCCTTTGGAAGTTTTCCAATCTAATGCCTTCACTAGAAAGTATAAAGAAGAGCCACCATACACTGAATGTAGTGCTCTCATTAAGGTTACACCAGATTGTAAAAACATCTTTGTAGGTCACACAACCTGGAGAAGATATAACATTATTAACAAGTTCTTCAAGACTCTCACAATGCCACTCAAGTTTGTTGCTGCCAAGACTGTCAGTATGAGTTCTTCTGCCAGTTTCTTCTCCTCTAAGGAAGATTATTTGGCTATGGACTCTGGTTTGGTTGCTTTGGAAACCTCTCTCAGTACCTACAATACTTCATTGTATAAATTGCTCAAGCCAGAATCATTACTTTCATGGGTTAGAAGTGTTGTTGCCAGTAGATTGGCTTATACTTCAAAGGAATGGATTGATACCTTTGCTAAATTCTCCAGTGGTACCTAGTAAGTTTTCTCAATTCATTCACAAAAATATTTAAATGAATAGCAACAATCAATGGATGAGTTTGGATATGAAGAAATTCAAGCCAGGTACTTGTCAATTGGAAAAGGATACCTTATGGATTATTGAAGAACTTCCAGGAGGTGCCAATCAAAATGCTGACGTTTCATCAATTGTAAATTCCAATCAAGGTTATTGGCCAAGTTACAATATTCCATACTTCCCAGAAATTTACAACATGCTTGGTTATGCTGAAGCAAAGAAAAAGTTCGGAAATGAAATGGATTATAAATTGTGTCCAAGAGCTAAGATTTTCGCTAGAGAACAATCCAAGATTATCAATGATTGGAAATCATTTGGAAGAGTTTTGCAATTCAATGAATGGCAAATTGATGAATTCAGTGAAGGAGATCCAGCTAAATCAATTGCTGCTCGTTACGATTTGAGACCTACCAATGGTCAACTCAAACCAGCTGCATTTGGTGGTGCTGATACTAAATTGACCAGTTACAGACACGTCATGAATAGTGCTACTGGTAAACCTGTTACTTTCGGTATGGCTGGTCCAACTCACCAAGAACAAGCTCCATTCACATGGAATGATAATCGTTGGAATTCAATTCCACATTTGGGTCAACCAGACACTTACGATTTTGACTGGGTTCAATTCAACAATTAAAAATTGCACTCTCATACTTAGTTTAGAATTATTAAATTCTTGTTTAAATGGTTGAATTAATATTGACCTACTCAGATTCATAAAATAACCTAGTGTCCTTACAGCACAGTACAATTCCAAGAATTATTTTCAGTTTTCTGTGGTGATGGTTCTTGAATTAGTGTCCAATCTTTCAATTGTTGGAAATAGGTAAATTGCAATTGAACGAACCAAAATGGAGTAAACACATTCTTCATATCCTTTGAATTAGCCTGTACGAAGATTGATTGCCGGAATCCAAATGCCTTTTTCACAGCCTCCTTTGGGTTGACCATCTCAGTAACTTGAACATTTGAGTACAAGCCAAGAATAATGCCCAGATGTGGTTGTTTTAGAACCTCTTTAACTGCCTCAAACCATTTATCCAAATCATCAAGTGTTTCCTTTCGATTCATTGCAAAACAGATAAGAAAATTCAACCATGAAAGCCTTCCCAATTGCTTTACAACTCCAGTCGAAAGGTATCTTTCCTGTCGAGCAGTATCCCATATTTGATGTTTAAACGCTTCCTCACCTCTAAGAGGAGCAAACGCCTTGACAATAAAATCAACCATTGAGTGAGAATAATTGTCAAAGTGTCCATTGTTCATTGTCTTTGAAAAGGTTTTCTTTCCAACAAAAGCATCACCTACAAGCATGTACTTGATGGTGTTGTTGTTGGAATTTATGAGCTTGGGTTTCTCATAAGAAGGACGAAATCTAGATCGATAAAAATCCAATAAATTAAATTGACTTTCTAATACGTGCTCAACGTTTTTTGAATCTTTTTGTTCTGATGGATTAATATTACCCAATCTAAATGCCAATTGTAATAAATACATTCGAATGAAATACTTTGAATTTCCAATCAACGAAATTTTGTCCGATTCATCTTCAATATTTCCATTGGAAGAAGAAATTGAAATTTTACATCCCAACAAATTTTCATCACACCTTAAAATTTCATCCACATAAACCCAACATTTTCCCACCACTTGATAAATTGCTTGGTTAGTTCCCACTAGTGAAGCAAGCACATCAATAGGATGCAAAAATTGAATAACTGTGGTCCAAACATCTTGATTCATTTTTTTTTGATTGTAAAAATAAAAATTTACAGTAATAAGCAACAAGATTTTTATTTTGTCATGAATCATCTTGTATTAAGATGTTGATGTGATCTGGGAGAAAATAAATTGTGCAATGTGCTCATTGGGACAAATTTTAAAAGTTGTAACTAGTTAAGGAACATTGAGGGGAATGGATTAAAAACTTGTGAAGCAAGTTTTGACACTTTCTACCAACCAAGTGGGTGTTGTCCTTTAATATTAAGGACATAATTCAACTTGTCCTTTTTCTATCTAAAAAAATACAGTGGATACAATTTCTTTAGAATCATCATCCTCACCAACCCAATAAAACAAAACAACATTCCAAACTTTGGAAGTTGATCCTTCCCAAATTCAAAATGACAAAGAGAAATACTTCCCAGAACTATTTGTTGAAGATGAACAAGATGTAATCATACAAATTAGTCAAAAGTCAGATTGAAGAATTGTCTATTTTTATGTAGAATTGGACTGCTATAACATTTATATTCCATATTTGACAATTTTCCATTAAAACAATTTTTTGTAAATTCAATCAAAAAAATGCTTCGTTCCAAAATCACTTCCGTTTGCTCATCACGACAATTTATTAATTCCTTCGGCAAATCCTCATTATTTCCATCATTAAACACAAAATTACATAATTTCCATTCCTTACAAAGTAACCGAAAATCAAACTCATCCGATATTGATGCAAAATCCATCATTAAATCTATTAAAGTCCCAGAAATGGGTAATGGTATTAGATCCGCAACCATTTCCCGATGGAAGAAACATCCAGGTGATGAATGTGATGGTTCTGATGTGTTGGCTGAATTGGAGATGAAGAATTCTGATATGAAATTATTGCTCGAGTTGAGACCACCTGTTAAGGGACAAGTGAGGGAACATTTGAAGAATGTTGGAGATGAGGTGATGGTTGGAGAGAAGATTGCAACCATGGAAACGTTGGATATTGATGAGGAAAGTAGATTGAGACATGTTGTGGAGGATGCTATCATTGATGTTCATGTTTTACCTAAATAGAGATGTGGATAGAATAAATTAATGGAAAATATAGTTTAATATTAAACTATTTAATATTTACAGGTTTTAGGTTGACTATTAAAAACTTAAGGAAGTGAAATTGTTGAAATTGGAGTGTTTGGTTCACTATCGATGGATATTGAAGAATTGGAAAGATTATGGAAATTATCTTGATTGGAGGCAGTTAGGAATGTTCCAAATTGTTGGTGATTACTAGTATTGGTAGTGTTTGGTGACATTTCAATTCCTTTTGAGTTTTCCAAAGCTCTATTTGTTTTGTGTTCAAAGTTGACTGCCTTAATGGCATTCTTGACCATCCTTTTCATTTCACTGATAGGTCCAAAGAGGATACACAAACCAACAATGAAAATCCATGTAGCAATTGCCTTTCCAATTAACGAAACCACTTGAAAGTAAACTGAAACATTCGAAACTTCTCCTATAAACGAAATCAATTCCATCAAACACAAGAAAACAGCAATCAAAGCAACTAAACTCACAATGATAACAATTCTAATAATTGCCTTCTTACTAGTTTCCTTCAAATAATGTCCAGAATTTTCACTACTTTGTTTCAAATGTCTGATTAGCTGAACGGTTGTCCAAATTACATAACCCAATGAAGAAAGAACACATAGAATGAAGATAGTTGTTGTCAATGAATAGAAAAATATAAGAGCTGGTTTGATGGTTGTGTCATTGGTTGCTTGTTGAACTTTTGTTATTTGGTCAACTAGCACAGTAATGATATAACCTATAATCACCACTGAAAGAATGATAGGAATGGTAATTATCGATCCAAGAAGAATCTTGAATACCTTTTCTGAAATGTATTTCAACTTCCTGCTCGTTTGCAAACTATTTCACATTTAAAACAATTCTAATCTTAAACTAAAACTTACAATATATAACAAACAAACAAGAACTGCACCACCAACCACCAATCATTCACAGCCCATCCACAATAAATCAATGCATTAATCACTCTCACATGGAGTGGTTTCTCAGAACTGACAAAAGTCGCCACAGGAAAAGCCAACATGTTTAAGATTCGTAAAGCAAATAAAATGATCAAGATTACAACACTAGGTAACATGATAGAGAAGAGGATGATCTTGTTTTTGGAGAAGGGCCTTTTGGGTTTGATAGGAGTTGAAGAAGGATTGTTTTCGTCTGGTTTCGTTTTTTGGCTTGCTTTTGATTTGTGTTTAAAGCAGATTAGGAGGGTAAGAATGAATGGAAGGAGAATAATGAAGGATAGCATTTGAATGAAGGTTACCGAAACCTCGCCAATGATTTGCGCAGTGGACACTGTTTCGTTTAAAGAAGAAGAATTAGATGAAACAGCTTGTATTATGAACAAATCAACTAATGACGACATTTTCAAGCTTAAAGATAAAATCTAGTGGTATAGTGGAAGGACTCTGTTTTTTTTGAATGTTTCTTGCATGTTTTGGAGAATAATCTTGTTTCTGATAGAAATTGTTGGCGGATAAACAAACTCTGCGCAAATGAATGACGATTGGAAATATCCCATCTAACATCTCTCATTGTTTTGGAGAGTGAGCTACAGAATTGATGGTTTCGGTACAGATTTGTTTCGAAGGAATGTTCACGTGTGGAATATAGAAACCTATAAACGTAGCCAGTTGGAAAATGTATTCTTTTGGTGGATTAGTTTGTTTAATTGGAGTAAAACAGTGCCTTTGTTTCGACTAATACCCTTTCTATATTTACATTGTATTACATTGACAATAAAATCTGCTTGATATTAATAGTAGTGGTACTAAAAATCTTAGAAATTGAAACCATAGTAAATACATTTGCCTTACATTGCGAAATTAAACTGTTTCATTCAATCTTCGAGAAAATAGATAGAATGTTTCTTTTTCATGAAGATTTATCCAACTCTCCCAATCTTGCACTTTCTTCTACTAATTCTCGTGTGAGTTGAGTCCAATCTGCTTCAAAATGATATTCTTGAATACTTGTTGCTTCTTGAATGGTTAGGAAGAGAATTTCTTCATAAGAAATTGAGACATCCAGCTTAAACTCTCTCAAAACAGTTTTATCACTGGTTTCATTCAAATTAGGAATACAAAATTCTCCCAATAATAAATTATTCCTCGGTATGTATCTTTCACCCATGTACAATTTGAAATGGAATTGGTTTGTGGATGGGTTGACATTCTTTTGTACAGTGAACGATTTCTTGTAAGGCAGGTAAGTATTCCTATGGGCCAGAATCATCATTTTCCTATTATGTTCAATTCCAATGCTAAGTGGCAACACAACGTGTGCCCAAAAAGTATTTCTAACTCTGAACTGTTCACAAAATACGGTAGCTCCTCTTGCCTTAATGGTTTTTGGAGGAATGTTGTCGTATAAAACGAATTGATTATTTCCTTTGAAGAATTCTCGGATTGTAGATGAAAATTTTGAGATTTGACAACAAGCACCACATAAAATCAAATCACTGACAGAATGAATTGATTTTGAATTCCTTTCCAATAGAGAGTTCAGTAGGGATGTAATTTTTGAGACTACTGGTGTTACTAATTGTTCAAATTTTGGTTTGCTGAGGACTAAAGAGAAATCAACTCCATCCATCAAGGAATCTACCTGAATCAAAACATTGAGTAGATTTCTTTCGCCGTATAATTCTTCTTTGGCAAGTTTACATACCTCATAAAGTCTGGCTCTTGCCTTTGGATTTGTAAGCTGCTTTTTTGTTTTCTTTTTAAATTCTTGCACACAATAGTTAACCAATAGCTCATCAATAGAATTTCCTGAAATGGTACTATCTGAAGTGTATTCAATCAACTCGAAAATACCTTCTTCCAAATTGTATAGTGTTGCTATTGTACATGTAGATCCACAATTCAAAATTAACAAATCTCTGTCCGTCTTGTTATTGATGCTATATGCCAATCCAGCAGCTATCACATCTTTAATTGCTCGTTCCACTTTAAATCCTGCCATTTCAAAAGCACTTTTTAAAAACGTTAATTGTAAATCATTGTAAAATACTGGAACTGTAATAATATTTCGTTCGAAAAGATCTTTTCCCATATCCTTTCCCAATATTTCCACTCTCAATTTATCAAATAATTTCACCATTAGGGTAAATAGTGGAATCTCAATTGAATAATTAGTTTTCGTATCAGTAATCTTAATCTGAATCAACTTGTTTAAATTCTCTACATCGTCTTTCGATTTGATATGTACATTCTCAGTAAATATTTGACTTATTAATCTCTTCTCTCCCTCAATTTCATCATTTTCCAAAATCTTGATTTCATTCAATTGATCTTGATCCGATCCCAAACAATCAATTAATCTCTTAATATTTACAATTGTAAAATCAATATATTCCTCATCACTCTCTTCAAAACCAAACAATTCAAATCGTTTAATTTTACTCTCCATCATACAAACAATAACCGTATCAACATTAGAACCCAATCTAATAACATTCTCTCCCAAACAACCCGAGCAAATATCACTCGAAACCTTGATGAAGGAATTTCCGAAATCAATTCCGAACCAGTACCGATCCTCTCGTACAAGATTTGGCAAATAATCAGTTGCTATTATCATTTTTTTCAATTTCAATTAAAATTTAGATATTTAAAAATTAATTTAAATAATAATAATTTTAGATGAGATTTTTGAAAACAAAAAAGGAGAATAGACACTTTTTGGACAAATCAAAGATAACGATCAATTAGTTCTGCAGAAATATAGATATTCATCAAAGATATTGTTGTACCCACGAACGATATAATGAAGAACAAGAAGAATAACAACACTCAAAGATATTATATGGTACAATTTACGGAATATGTATTCAAGTAGTTCATACTACTAAAAATTACTAGACTATAGAGAGAGCGAAGTGAGAGAGTTGTTTGTTGTTTTGTTGTTGGAGAGAGAGTTTCATATGTGTATTATATAAAATTAGTGAGTCCTCTTCTTCATATGATCAACAATGAATTCATTGGCGGGAAGTATAATAAAAAAATTTACAAGAGATTGCAACCCTTCTTCTTTCCACTCTTGGTATCCTTTCCGACTGGAGTTGAAGGCTTTGACTTTCTAACTTCACGAACGAGGGCCATGAAAGCTTCATCAACGTTCAATCTTTGCTTGGCTGAGGTTTCCAAACTTGGGATGCTCAATTGCTTGGCAAATTGTTTACCTTCATCAGCACTGATGACTCTTTCAGATTCCAAATCACACTTGTTACCAACAAGAACCATTGGGACTTTATCAGCATCCTTGACTCTCAAGATTTGTTCATAGAAATCATTGATTTCTTCAAAGGTCTTTCTGTCAATGACAGAGTAAACCAACAAGAAACCATCACCAGTTCTCATGTATTGATCTCTCAAAGCCTTGTATTCTATATAATAATTTATGTATCATCATCATAATAATATTGTTGTTGCCGGTTAATAACAAAAAGTAAATATTTTCAAAAACAAACCTTCTTGACCGGCAGTATCCAAGATTTCCAAGAAACATGGCTTGTCATCAACTTTAGCGTGCTTTCTATAAGAATCTTCAATAGTTGGATCGTATTCTTCAACGAAGATGTTTTGAATGAATTGGACAGTCAAGGCACTTTTACCGACACCACCACCACCGACTAGAGAGTTGTATTAAATAATTATTCAAAGAAAGTTAGAAGAAAGCATATACGAAAGGTTGAAAGTTAACGTTAGAGAAGGTGAATATTTTGTTTTACATACCAACGGCGAGCTTGTATTCTTCCATACCAGAATTGTTTGAAGCCATTTTGTGAATATTTTTTTTAATTTGTGTTGGGTAACAAGTGACAGGCTGAATTACAGTTTTAAATGTCAAGCCATTAATCATAGTTCTCTGTTCACATTAAGATGCTCAACAAAGACAATTCTCTCAAACAAAAAGCATCAACATATGGCCATAGAACTCATGGAATCGAGTACTATCTTCCACGAACACGCATGGAAAAGAGTTCTCAATACCTTTGGAGATTTGATACTGTTGGATATGTTTTACTAATTGGGTTCTTTATGATAAATAGTACGTTATCGCTATGGTATTGAATAGTGATGGTTGTAGATGATGTCTTTACATCGATGAGGTGGGTAGTAAAAAAGATAGAATATTGGATAATGGCATGTAGATGTTGAAATTGAATATTTTTGCGAATATTGAAGTGATAACTTCAACTAGAGTTGAAGAAAAATTTACAGTGTTGAAATTTGTAGAAAATTTAAAAAAATATTTCAGCATGGAAATTTCATTTGGTTGAATGTTTCTGGTCGGAATGTTTGGCTTCATCATGATAATGTTTTAATAAATTATTTTGTTACTGAGGATGATTGTTGTAGGTAAACCCTAACTTCTCTCTTGAGTACTTTAGCTAATTGAGAGCGAGGTAAATCACCATCAAATATGTGAATAGAATTTGGTAAATCTTCCTGTGGGACCTTCTTCTCTGTGAGGAATAACATTAATTCTTCACATAGGGCCTTCTTCTTTTCCTCATCATTAACAATATCAGCCTTTCTTCCATGACGCAACGATATGGCCATAACAGCCTTCTCTTCACTCACTTGAACGTAGGCTGTTTCCTTGATGGCTGGATGATCATGAATAATTTCCTCGACAAGTCTTGGGTAGGTAGTATGAGTAGTGGAAGATGTTGTCTTGGTAGTATCATCATTATCATCATGATTGTTATTTGTAGAGATTGAAGATGCAGAACTATTAATCCTTCTCTCAATAACATCAGCCCTTCTTCCCAAGACGTACAATCGACCCTCTCTCAAGTAGCCAACATCTCCAATGTGAAGCCATCCTCCTTTGAGTGTCTTTTCCGTCATTTCCTGATTCTTAATGTATCCCTTGAATTGTGTAGGACTCTTGACGAGAATGTTACCTATTGGAGGAGGTTTGCTCTTGTCTGTCCACTCCAAAACCTTATCATCATCATCAGCAATAACAACTTGAACCTGAGGAACAACAATACCAACAGAACTCAACACTGAGCGAGGAGCCCATCTGTATTTTCCATTCTCGTCTATAGTATTGCTCTCTAAAAGGTGATTTGTTGTGGAAAGCATGGAAACTGGTGGAAGAACTTCAGCAGAGCCATATCCTTGTTGAAGAATTGGACCAAAACGAGCAAGGGCCTCTTCTAATTTTCCTACCGGCATTAATTCAGTTCCATAAATAATATTGGTGAGGGAAGAAAGATCGACCTTGTCAATATTTGGTGAATCCAACAAATCTATCAACAAGCTAGGAGTTGTGAATAGTCTAGTAACTTTGTACTTGGGAATCAACTTTAAAAATTCTTCAGCTGTAAATTCAGATGGAATAAGGAGAGCTCCTCCCGATATCAGAGTAGGGATAACCATGCCACTTCCAGCACCATTAGTAGGAATACCAACAAGAGAAACTTCATTAATTTTCTCAGGATCAATGCTTGGATCTAATTTTGACTTGTCAATTGGAGGAGAGGAAAAACTCACTGGTCCAAGCTCTACATTTCTAATAGTAAGTGTAAGACTGAGGATGAATAGACCATGATTAGCACTAAGACATTTAGGAACTGAAGTAGTACCACTAGTAAAGCCCAAACTGTACCAATCATCAGGATTGATCACATTGGATGAATATTGATAAAAGTCAGATTTTGATTTTTTGGAATTTGTAACAATATTGTTAAACTCTTCATCAATAACATCAAATGATAACAAACTAATCTGTGGAACTATTTCTTTGAGTAGTTGAGAAGATTCTTCACCAGCACGTCTATCATATAGGAAACAATAATTCCTGTCCTCTCTAATTTCAACCTTATCCATCACATGCAAGAGTAATTCCTTGCCTGCATTTCTAGGAATATTCACTAGAATAATTCCACTCTCAAAGCATGCTAACATGGCCAGGATGTACTCTGAACCTTCTGGCAGCAAGGTAAATAGATAATCACCCTTTCTCAATGATGCTTTATTTGTGAGAACTGTCAATAAGGTCAACATTCTTTCCTTCAGTTCCGAATAGGTGAGTGGTTTTATCGAAGGAGAAATGAGAGCATACTTATCGTTGGCATATCGTTTGTATGCAAATCGAAACACATCCCTCGGTATTGAAAACCTACTCATCAGCAACAAGAGGAACTGTTTTCTGAACCATGTTAAAATCGACATTTTTTTGTACTGGATCTGGATGCAAACGTATTCGACCATTCGCTTAATTGATTGATTGGAAACAAATCTCATGTTCCAGTACATGAGCAAGAATTCGATTTGGTATGCATTTTCAATACATTTTAACATTCTTTGCTGATTTGGAAAGGTTTAGATCATCATCTTAATATTGTAAACACATTGAATTCATCCATTAGAACCTTTTTTATTGTTTACAATTACTGCCAACCAATGAAAACCCATCCAAACTCTACCTTTTACCTTCCACTGCACATAATATGGAACATTGAATAATAGCGATTCAGGTTCTTCTTCATTTTCTTTTAAAATCTCCTTCCATTTCCAGAACTTTATCAGTACCAAATCATCACGAATTTAATTTCCAAAAACAAAATGACAACCTCTACTCAACCGTTCACACATGGTTCATCATCACCCTCTACATCATCAACAACTGTTTTACCCATAACAGATGTAGGAGGAGGAGGAGTTGATTCATCATCTAGGGTTGAATTGATGAAGGATGAGCATTATCAAAGAATGGAAAAGAAGGAACATGATGAAGATGGTTATAGAGTGTTCTTTGGTGATAGACAGTTGAATATGAAGCAGGTTAGGAGGGGATGGTTCGGGATGAAGAGGAAAAGATTTTCCGATAATAGTGTTTCAACTACAAAGGTATGTTCAACTCAGATGAACTATTTAATATTTATTAATAATATTTAATATTTAATATTTTTTGTAATCAATAACATGCTGTTGATTGATGGAATGGCAAATTTTGTGTGAAATTAGTACACGTGGTGGAATTTCATTGTGTTGAATTTATTTCACCAATTGAAACATTTGAGTAATTTGTACTTTCTCCTAGCTCTGATTTTTGCATTCATTCCTGGAGTGAGTCCAACAACGCCCATTACACAATTACAAATAATTTTCATTATTTTGGTGAATATGTTGAGAGAGGGAGGTGAAGATATATTGAGATATCTCAATGATAGAAAGGTCAATAGAAAGATGACGAATGTTTTGGTGGAGGATAAAGTGGTGCCAATTCACACGAGTAAGGTGAGAGTGGGGGATATTGTGAGAGTGGAATGTGATGAGACTATACCTGCTGATATGATTTTGTTGGGATCGTGTCATTGTGAGGAGGAATCAGATGGAAGAGTTTCACTTTCGTCCAATTGCAAAATTGAAACTGCCAATTTGGATGGTGAGACAAATTTAAAGACAAGATTTGGAATTTTGAATGAAACAGTTCAAATGCCATCAAATCAAACAAAAGAGAATGTAATAATCAATACCTTGTTACAAATTAAGGGAAGTGTCGATTGTGAACTTCCAAGTGAAAATTTACACAGTTTCAAAGCTAGTGCTCTACTGAAATATTCACAGAATGAATCACAATCGAGATTAATTCCCATCAATCAACAACACTTACTTTTGAAAGGAACAATCCTCAAAGCAACTGAATATGTCTATGGATTGGTGATTTATTGTGGAAAGGACACCAAAATGATGAGAAACATGCAGAAAGGAAGAGTTAAATTCACCTCTGTGAATTTTACAATGAATATCATGATTGGTATCTTGTTTGTGATCATGTGCTGTTTGTGTATTGCCTTTGCAGGAGTTTCGTCCTATTTTGAATTCACACTTGCCAAAATTTCAAGCTACACTGGTAAATCTACATTGAATGTCAGCAATGCTGCCAGTGTTGTGCTCTCCATGATGACATTCTTTATTCTTTTCAATTCGTTGATTCCAATTTCTCTATTTGTGACTTTGGAATTTGTTAGAATGTTTCAGGCATGGCTTGTGAATATGGATAATGAAATGGCAGTTTACGATGCTGATCCACATGATCCAGTATCGAGAAAGACACTCATTTCTGCATCTTCACTCTCTTCTGAGCTTTTACCTGATTTGGCAACAGTTGACATTATATTCTCAGATAAGACTGGTACTCTGACAGAAAATTCCATGATTTTCAACAAGATTTGTTTTGGAACAAACTATGTTCATGATGATAAGGTCAATAATGGTCAACTAAACACTTTGATTCAACAATCTCTTAAAGAAACAACTGATCAAGCTCAAACAAATGATTCAAAGAATGAAAATACGTTTGGAGAGGATGAATTATTCCAATCTCTGAATACCATGCTACTTCTCTCACTGTGCCACAATGTAGATGTGAGAGCTTCTGACGATTCTCAATCTTCCTCAGTGGAATTATTGGAAAATGTCGAAGAAACTCGTCCATACTATGAAGGAGCTAGTGTTGATGAAGTTGCTCTTGTGAATGGTGCTTTCAATAATGGGTTCAAGTTGAAATTTTACTCTGAAAAGAAAACCATCGTCTCCATATTTGGAATTGATTATACCTTTGAAAGATTGTGTGAAATACCCTTCACACCAGAGAGAAAGAGAATGTCAACCATTTTCAAAATTCCTAAAGAATTTCTTCAAGCTTTCCCAATTTACAGAAGGAAGACAGGACTTGAAAATGAAGAATCACTTGTCGTCTGTTTCACAAAAGGAGCAGACAGTTTTTTATTCCCATACATTGAGGAAAATCAATCGAATTCAGCACTGAAAGGTAAACTTGAACAGCATATTTTGGAGTTTGCCAAAGATGGACTCAGAACACTGTTACTGGCCTACAAGTTTATTCCAAATCAGAATATAGTTGATGAGTTTGTTATCAAGTATAATGAATTGAAATCAAAGCAAGAAGTTCAACAAGAGTTGTTAGATACATTGGAAAATGAAATGGAGAGAAATTTACAAATTTCTGGAGCTACTGGAATTGAAGATTCACTTCAGGAGAAAGTTCCAGAGACTGTCAAATTCTTCCTTGATGCTGGTCTTCAATTGTGGATGCTGACTGGAGATAAGACTGAAACGGCGATCAACATTGCAGGAATGTCTAATTTTATTGGAAAGGAAACTAGACTAATCTATCTTAATGGAGAAGAATTTAAATCAGATCAATGCATGGAACAATTACAAATCAAACAAAAAGAAATTGGAGAAGAGACGGATGTAGCTCTTGTCATTGATGGATTGGCCCTTTCCTATTGTGTCGAAAACAATGAGAAACAAGATTTATTCTTTGAAATTGTGAAAAAATGCAAGACTGTCATTTGTTGTAGAGCTACCCCAAAGCAAAAATCACTTCTTGTTGGTATTGCACAAAGGAAATTGAAAAAGAAAGGATTAGCTATAGGAGATGGTGCCAATGATGGTAAGTTTATGGTTAGAATTTGAATTTTTACAATTAATAGTTCCAATGATTCAAAAGGCAAAGATTGGTGTAGGGATTATTGGAAAGGAAGGATCTCAAGCAAAGCTCAATTCTGATTTTGCCATTCCAAGATTCCACATGTTGAGAAAATTATTGGCTGTTCATGGAAGATACTCATTTAAGAGATGTGCCAAACACATCTTTTATAGTTTCTACAAGAATATCAGCGTCACTTGTTTGCAGATCTATTTCACCTTCTATACCATGTATTCAGGTCAGACACTTGTGGATGCCAATAACCTTTCGTGGTGGAATTTATTCTTTACCATTCTCAATACGTTCATTTATGGTTGGTTCGATAAGGATATTCGTGAATCAAAATTATTGGATGAAAAACTTGGACCTAAACTGTATGCCAGTTTAAAGAAGGAGAATATCTTTAATCTCTACATGTTTACAAGATGGATTGGATCTGGTATTGTTCACTCATTGATAATTTTCATGGTGGTGATTTATGGAACTGAGGGTTCCATTTTCGGCAATGGACAAGATTCAGATAGTTTGTGGCTTAAATCTGTGTTGGCAACTTCATGCATGATTTGTGTTGTGAATTTTAAGTGTTATTTGGAGATGGAAGACTTTACAATTATTAATCATGTATGCATGTTCCTTTCGTTTGTGATTTTCTATGGATACAATATTTTGCTAACAGCTTATCCAAAAACTATTGGAGTAGTAATGACTGACACTTATTTATTTGGAGCTTGGGATGGTGGAATACGATCTGCTATCTTCTGGTTTGTCCACATCTTTGGTATTGTTGTTCCATTGAGTTTGGATCTTGCTGGTCATGGTTTTAAAGTGCTTTTTTGGCCTGATGAATATCAGAAAGTGAAATTGATGAAACTTCCAGAACCAAAAGTGTAATTACATCAATAAACATGATTGGTTATCCTCATTTGTTGCTGTAACAATATCTGATTTTCCAAATCCCGTATTATTTTCCATAATTGTTGAAGATGTTTCCTCTTCTACATCAGTTTGTTCCAACAATTCTTTTTGAAGAACAGCTGTTGAATATAGGCCACCAACAACCGACTTGTATAGTTCGGTATTCTTCCTTGATTTTGATAATGTCCTATCAAATGCACTCCAAAATGTTACATCCTGCCCTTCATGGTGTGAAAACTTGATAGAGCCAACCATAATTTGATTTGATTTGTAAAATCTAAATGTGTAGATGAGTGAAAGAACATCCTTCGTCTTGAACATGTGATCGATAGTAAGAGTTCCAACAATAACTTCACCATGATTCGGTAACCTATTGAAAAACCCTTGTCTGTATGCCATATCCATAAAATCAGCCTTCTCCCTCAAATATTCCAATATCTTGTCAGATATTATTTTGAAATCCAATCCAAATAATAGATATTTCTTGTTGGAAATTTCAGGGACATATTTGGTTTTTTGATTGTTTTGGAAAATACTAGTTAATGCAGAATCATTAATTTTGTAATTGTCCATTTCAATTGGATGTGAGATGAGACTTTTGATTTCAATCCATAATTTGTGCATTTGTTTAGCCCAGCTTGGATGAATGCTGAAATTCTGTGTAATAATAGGAACATTATCCATATTTAAAAACTCTAACTTTTTCAGATTGGAAATATCCAGAGAAGACAATTCACAGGTCTCTCTTGTGGTACTATTCTGATTAAAGACGAATCTATTACACCCTGCTAAATCTAAAAGGATGAGATTTTCCAAATCTTCTATACACTGTACGTTCAAAACTCTTTGTTGTGGAACAGATTTTAAAACGAATACTTCCAACTTTTTCAAGTCAACAATAGATAGACAATCAAAATTTCCATCAATGTTTGGGAATTTCAAATATTTCAAATTTTTAAAGCTCTCAAACTTGGGATAGGAGTTAAAAGTGCTATCTTCACATATGATAGACTCTGCATTGTTGCCAAGATTTTTGAAAAATTGTTCTGTGCTGTGAATGGCAGATTGAGAGATATGGATTTGTTTCACTTTGGAGCAACATGCCCACACATTAGGTTCAAATGGTATAGATGGTATAACTATTCCGCAAAGAGTCAAACTTTGGAGAGAAGGAGCTACAAGTTTTGAGATAATTGACATGTTATGGGTTGAAGTCATTTTAAAGCTTTCAAGTTTTGAAAATATGTTAGGAATGATGAACAAGTTAGACTCTTGGCGCTCTTCAATAATGGTAAGGTTTCTGCATGATTCTATGTTAAAATGAATATTTTCAGATGGGAGTTTCACTCGGGCACTCTTGTTAAAAATACATGTTAGAGAAAGGTTGATTAATGTATCGTTCAGCTTGCAAAGCCACTCCAATTGGCTCCACATGCTCATATTAATTATTGTAAAATTCAATCGTGTAATTTTCGTAAAATTAACAAGATACTCCAACATTTGAATCAGAGTGTTGACAGATGTTTCAATATTAGGAGAATACGTAGAATCGGTAATGTTCGAAATGTCAAAGCATAGAGACAATTCTTGGAGATTGCATCGAGGTTGGAATGTTGTTGAGGTTAGCATGTTTGGATTTATGCTCTGAAATCCTGTAAATAGTGAATTGAGAAGAAATACATCTTGTGGAGTCTTGATGGCCAAGCTACATCTGAAAGATTCGAGAAGCAGGTTCTCTCTTATTTCATTTCTTGAACAAAGAATATTCTTACAATAACTCAGTACATCCCCAATTGTTATACTATTACAATGAGTTCCCAAGTCAAGATCGAGATGTTTCAAGGTCCACTGTCCAGCATGATGATCGTTGGAAGAAAACTTCTTGATCATATCCAAAAACAATTTAGCAATTTCAGTGTTTGATGTTAGTTTCAATTTTAATCCTTCCAATATGTTGAAAAGTCCAATTCCATAATTTTCCAAAGTGAATAATTTTGAAATAGTTGAAAATATTGGAGAGTCCGCTTCAATGTCCTTATAAATCGTGAGTGAGGATTCAAATTCCATGTATTTTACATTTTTTGTGTTTGCCTGCAAGAAGATTGTCAACATTTTACAAATACAATTATCGAATACTTGTTTGAAATTTTCATCCCCAATCACATCGCACAGCACATGAATAAATTCAACTCTCTGGTCATAATGTTTCATGTTACTTGAAATGATTTTTCTAGTTGATGTTAAACCTTGCACTTCAGGAGTGAGATTCCACGTATTTCTCCAAGATTTGAATGCACCTTGCTTTGATTTAAAATAGGGTTCAAAAACACTCAATGTTGATAAATTTGATGACTTTTTCTCCTCCGATATTGGTAAGAATTGTTCAATAATTTCCTTACTATTTGGAGCAATTAAAAGACCTTCATGAACAGTCCTATAAAACTCTCTATTCGTCAATGCTGCTCTCTTGATCAATGTCCAACTATCGAGAAAGGAAAAGATCATTCTGAGAACATAATTATGTTGTTGTTCATTCGATAAATCTCTTCTATCGCAACCCATTAATAATTTACCAAATGGTTGTTCTTGTCTCTTCATCGATGATGAATATTTACATTCTTTGTATGATGATGGAAGACTTTTCATCTTGTTTTTTTCCGTTAGTTATTCGTTAATAATAATATCAGCTATCGGATGAATATTGTTGTATTCCATAGACTTCACTATCCAATTTACCAAAATCATGATATGAAACTCTATGCAACGGTGGCAATGATGTAATCATGACGTCATTGATTTGTCTCTAATTTTTTCTAAAATAAAAAAAATAAAACAACAAAGCCTTATGATGATAAAATGTTAAAAGATATGATGATTTGATTGAGAAAAACGATCCGAATGTTGTGCGATTACATACATTTGATCTGTATTAATTTAAGGGTTTATTTTGTCATTGTCAATAGTATCCTCCTCTTGATTTTCTGCTTGTTGAGATTCATCATTTCCAAGCATTTGCTTTAGAGCTAAATTCTTGTAAATACCATTCTCAATATTAAGTAATTGTTGATGAGTTCCCATTTCTCTAATAACTCCTTTTGTCAAAACACAAATAACATCAGAATTGATGACAGTTGTCAAACGGTGAGCTATGCAAATGGTTGTTCTGTTTTTCATCAAATTTTCTAAAGCTTGTTGGACTAATCTTTCAGATTCAGTATCTAGAGCAGATGTTGCTTCATCCAATAGCAAAATCTTTGGATTTTGTAACAAAGCTCTCGCAATTGCAACTAATTAACAAGATTACAAAAAATTTGAAAACTAAATTCAACTTACTTCTTTGTTTTTGACCTCCTGAAAGAGAAACTCCCTTCTCACCCAACATGGTATCATAACCATCATGTAAATCCATAATAAATTGATGTGCATTGGCCAACTTGGCAGCTTGTTCAATTTCTTCTTGTGAAACATTCTCAACTCCAATAGCATAGGCTATATTGTATCTGATTGACTTGGAAAAGAGAACTGGTTCCTGTTCGACAATTCCAATTTGTTTGTGAAGGAAAATAGGATCCAAATCAGTCAAATCTTCACCGTCCAAGAAAATTCTTCCTTGTTGAGGAGAATAGAAGCGTTCCAATAGACCAACCACAGTTGACTTACCAGAACCTGATGGTCCTACTAAAGCAACTGTTTGTCCTTGTTTGATTTTCAATGAGAAATCTGTCAAAACTTGTTGTTGAGGACGAGAAGGATAAGTGAAACAAACTTTCTCAAAATCAATATTTCCTCTTATTTGGTCAACTGGAATTTGCTTTCCTCCGCTGATAGGAATTGCAGGTTTTCTCAATATAACCTTCAAAAGATGTGTTTCACTAACGTATGACTTCATTAATTGAGGAAAGAAAGTAGCCGATCTAATCAATGAAATGCAACCAATAAGCATCATTCCAAAAACTTGAAACAATGAAGCCAAACTAGTCAATCCTAAAACAGCTTGATGTCCCGAATACCAAAATGTCAAAGCAACAGTTCCCCAAACAACAACTGCAGCAAATCCAAAGGCAACTCCATGAACTGTGCTTCTAATAAAACCAACCTTATTCAACTCTTTCAATTCAATGCCATATCTAGTCAACTCTGTCTTTTCACCTGCCATTGAGCGAATAGTTCTGAGACAAGTTGTAATTTCATTGGCAACTCCAGCACTTGTTCTTGTTAACAAGGTCATCTTCTTAATGAGATGGGTGGAAATAATGGACATGGTTGTGTGTGATATTAATGTGAGTGGAATGGTTGATATGAATAATAATGTCATTTTCCAATCACAAACAAGTGATAAAATTAAACCAACAATGAATTGCATGATTTCTTGCATGAAAATGTTGAATTCATTGGTAAAGACATCTTGAATTTTGGGAATATCTTCAGTGAGACAACTCATAAGGGAACCAATCTTTCTGATTTCGAAAAAGTGTACTTCTTGTTGAATGAGTGCTGACATGTATGCTTCTCTCAAACTAATCATATTCGAAACATGTATATTAGAAAGAGTTTTTTCATACTATGATACTTACCTTGTGCCAATTCTAACATTAGCCCAATTTTGAAAAAGTTGTTGAATTAAAAAACCAACTCCACCACAAAAAGCAATAATGGTCAACTTGACACAAACTTGATCTACACTTTCGCCTAACATTTCTTGATTACTATTGGCATTAGTAAATGTCTTGATTAAATCTCCAAGAACATAATTCACAATAACTGGAATCACACCATAGCCAGTTGATCCAACAGTTCCAATCAATAGAATAATCCAATTGAAACCAATAATTTGAAATATTTTCAAATGAGAAAACAAATTAATCTTTGGTTCTCTTTGGTCTTGAATTTCAGTTTTGTTTTTGTCAACAGCAATACTTTTAACCATTTTTTTTTTCTTTAATCTTCTCATTTTCGAATAAGTTTATCTTGTTTAAATAGAAATATTACAAGAGCTGCATCTTAATTGACTTAGTGCGTTCACACGGACACGATATAAATGGTAAAATTTTGGTAATGTATGGGGTCCGTGCAGAGTTTCTTCAAATTTGATAGATTAGTCCGTCATTATCCAATGAAACTCACTTGTTTCTTTCTTGAGGAGAATTACAGAGTTCACCATCGTTGATAAACAAAAGTCTTGTAATGTTTCGTCTACAGTTCATTTACAAACAATTGCACCGTTTGAAAAGTCCGTTGCTCTCCCGTCATGATTTGATGGAATTCCAAAGGAAGTTTTCAAAGTATGTGCATGAAAATATATTTGGACAATTTATTTTTTTAGCTTTACAAATGACAAATCTTTTTTGAACTTTAAAACCAAATCATTGCTCTGGTTCAGTTTCAATATCAAAATCAAAAAAATGAATCGGTTCATTTCGTATTTGTTTCTTCTGGCTATTCTATTTGTTTTTTATAAGCCAGTTCAATGTCAAACTATTGCAGTGATCAACAATTCATTGCAAGTTTATAATGGCGACAATGTTACCATTACAACAACCAATTTACAGTCAACTGTCAATGGAATTGTTGAACCACGTGTCATTTACACAGTTACTTCAGTTACCAATGCTCGTTTCCTCCGTTATAACACTACCTTTGGTTTCTATCTCGATACCAACACTTTCTCTGTTGCCGATGTCACTAACGGACTTATTTTATTCTCCCATTTTGGTAATCAAGAACTCCCAACTTTTACCTTAAATGTCTATGATCCATTTTACAATATTAGTACAACTGCTATTGGAAATATTGAATTCACAGCCTTCAGAAGAGGAACCATTGGTGCTCCACGTCCAGGTTTCTTTGCCAGTGTCGATCCAACTACCTTAATTGTCACACTCCGTATCAGAATGTATTTAAGAGTTTTCTCACCACCAGAAGTCAAATTCAACATTGGACTTTCTGCATTGACAGCTTGTCAACAAACTGATTTAATTAGAGATGGATTTGTTTACAATGCAGGAACTTCCACTTACTGGTATAGTGATTATGTCCTTTCATTGCCATTGTCAAGTTACTTGTCAAATCCAAATGTTCAACAAATTTCAACTGGAGGTGTCATTGATTTGGTTGCATTGATGTATGCTGAATACATGATTACTACTTACACACCATTGCCATCTACTTCAACTGGTGGTGATGTTTATGTTGCTCCACCAATTTCTGGAACTTGTTACAAAGTCATTTATCAACAACGTTATATTTTGACATTGGTTCTTCAAGTGACACGTGTCAGTTTTAATACTACTGGTGGAATTACCACTGGAGGTAATAACTGTACTGCTTATATACAACCAAAGAGAATTTTCGTTAATGATTTGGGTAAATTGGAAATTAGAATGATTGTTTGGACACTTTTGGCACCACCTGTCACATCATGGACAGTTACTGGACCATATTTCTTTAATGTTACTGATGCCATATTCACTGGTACTGCAAATGGTTATTATCAATATACAATTGTAATGCAGTCAAATGTCATTAATGGACCAATCGACTTTTATGGTGATTATGTACTGACCTACTTATCCCCTGATGGATCTGGTTGTACAATTTCATATTCTTTACAATATGTGGTTCCTTACCCTGTCATTACTCAAGTTTTACAATATAATACCACAGCTCAAACTTATGGAAATGCTGCCTTGACAATTGCTCAAACTCAATTCGCGGCAACTGACACTATCTATGTCAGAGTTGATGTTCCAGGTGCTCCTAGCGTTCCTTACATGACCATTTCCCCATACAATGTCATTATGTGTTGTTTCCTCGATTTCACAACCATTCCTGTCAATGTCGACTGTCGTAACGCTTCCAACTCTGATTTCAGTACTCAAATCTATATCAATGGAGTTCCTCAAAGCACTGGTGGTTTAAATGCTGCTACCCTTCCTCCTCCATCCACTTCCAGTTATGGTTTCCAATTCGATCTCCCATTTGCAATCAGAGATGGTCTCGATAGAAGATGTTTCCTAACCATCGAGTCTGCCTATTTACCTACAAATACTACCACTGTTAGAAGTCTATTCAAGGAAGAAAATGTAGAAACTAGAAGTTTGGCAGCTAATCCTGTGGCTAATACCGTTGTTTCACTTACTTATCGTTTGTTTGATATCGTTCCAAAGTCAACTAAGGGAGGTGCTGGAGCAGGTGGTGTTGTCAGTGGAGCATTCTCAATTGTCAGAGGAGGTGGAAATATGTGGATTCTTTCCTTGACTCTAGTATTGATCAAGTTATTCATCTTGTAATCAATTTACACATAATTTTCCTTTCACACAAATCACAAATTTAAATAAACGCATCATTTTCAATTTGTAATTTTTATGGTTGTGGAGATTCTCCCGTGTCTTACTACAGAACGGGAGAAGAGTATCCGCTTAATACTGCTGACAAACCAAAATAGAAAATATTCAACACCGATACTTTTAATAAAATTGAATTTTCCAATTATATTTTCTTGTGTTATTTGGCTGATGAAGTTATTGATTCACTCCTTCAAGAGTAATTCAAAAATTATCAAACTCATTGTGAATATTTAAATAATAAAATTCTTGTTTTTTCTTTTAATTTCATTTCTTTCACCTTAAATCGAACAATTAACCTTATTTCCTTAAACATCATTAAGATCAAATTGAATTTCAAAGATAACTAACTTTTTCAACATCCACACATTATAGTGATCACACTCATATCAATTAATCCGTATTTTTAATAAACAATCAATTGAAGAAACCTAAGATCGTGAAAATCTTTCTTACGATTTATTTGAAGAGAGAGAAGAAAGAGAAATATGGAAAATGAAATCATGATCCATTACATAGTTGTTTGTTACTCCAAGATTACAAAAGATTATCAAGAGTTTGGTTGAAGTTTCTAGACAACAATTTAAATATGCTATAAGAGAACCTTGCTCATCTCCTGCTACTGGTCTTCAATTTGTTCATCAAAAGGAAGTTAAGGATGTTATGAATGTTGCGCCTTTAATTATGATAAATTTGTTTATTCTTATTGAATTACTGCATTTTACCAATTATCACCACAAGAACATTTTCCGTTTTCAAAATGATGAAAACGTGAAGCATCTCTTACAATAATTTTGCAGTTTCTGACTTTTGAGATATACTTTGTAGCATTATGGCAATCTCCACAAACTCTCAAATTGTTAGCAATTCTAATAGTGGAACCTTTTGGTTGGTGAATAAAAGCATAGGCCATGGCCAATTTTTCTGAATGGCGACACAATAAATTCTTTTTCTCGTCGTCTGTAAATGTTCCGTGTTTAGTAACCCACCTTAAATCAGGCTCATAGCCAGCATCAATCATTTCCTGAGTTAGTTTCATTAACTCTTCTTCTATTTGTTTAATTTCAGGGTGGTTTTTGTCGTTACTAACAAAACTATATGTTTTTCCATTGATTTCAATAGTTGTTACTCCCGGAATCTTCTTTGCATTTTCTGATTTCATTTCTTTTTTGAGAAGTTCTACCTCAAGGTCCTCACCAAAGTACGAATAAATATTCGCTAGCAGGATATAATTGGACGAATCAGTTTTGTCTATTTCCTTTAAAATAGCAAAAGCCTTCCTTGCTCTCTCCAAATCATTATACTTTCTACATCCTCCTAAATAAGTACTCCACAATATTAATTCTTTGCTGTCACCAATTATTTTTTCTGCTTCTTCAAATAATCCAGAACGAACTAAACCATCCACCAAACAAGCTGTGTGCTTTATGGTTGGTTCGATATGATACTTGCTTGGCAGTTCTCTATAGAGATTAATGGATTTCTCAGGCATCATGTTGTGGCTGTATGCAGAAAGCATGTGAAGAAGAGTTTCTTCATTCGGTTCGAAGCCTTGCTCTATCATCTTGTCGAATATTACTTCTGCCTGTTTGGCTCTCCCATTTTGAGCACATGTTGCGAGTACTACGTTCCATGTAATGATTGAAATTGGGTATTCTCTTCGCAATAAATCTACAAATAACTCAAAGGTTTTCTCTATTTCTCCCATTTTACCATAAAAGTTTAGGATAGTATTGTGTAGTTCAATTTCCTGAAAATGATATTTTTCAGCAATTTGATGTATTTCAATACCTTGCTTCAAAGATATACCATCAGAATATAAAGAAAGCATTGATATCAGTGAAATATAATCAAAATTTTTCAATCTTAACATTTCTTCAAAAGTTTCTTTTGCCCTATCATAGATTTTGAAAACAGAGTAGAATTTAAGTATAGAATTACGCAATTCCAAACCACATTCAAAAAGTGGTGGCAGTAGTGCAATAATTTCTTCTCCTTCTTTTTTCAGCAATTTGTTTGTACACTCATTTAGCATTACAATAAATGAAACTTCGGAAGTCTGTTTAGTTGACATCATGTTGTAAAAGAGAGAGAAGGCTTCTGATATTCTCTCATCTTTGAAGAGGATTTTTAGTATCGTATTACACATTGGAGTATCGGGATTCTTGAAAGAGTAGAAGGTCTCAATAGATCTCTCAACCTCCCCTAAGTTTGCGTAAAATGAAATTACAGAGTTCATAACAATAGGATCTTTGCATTGGTTTTGTTCTATTAAACCACATATTTCCTTTCCTCTCTCAAATAGGTTGTTAGAAATACAAGCATTCAGCATAATAACGAATGTGCTATTTGATGGCTCGGCAAGTCTACGAAAATTTTCAAAAGCAAGATCAATTTTACCGCTTGAAAGAAGAGCTTGTAAGTAACAATTCCAAGTTATTATATTCTTTTGAGGAGAATTAGTAAACAACTCAATAGCTGTTTCATATTGCCCACATGTGGAATAAAAACTAATTAAACAAGTAATTAAAGTGATATCGTTAAGCAAATGTGGAAACAGTTCAACAATAATTCGGTGAATAGATTTTCCTCCTTCTAAATATTTGATTTTAGAGCAAGATTTGATGAGCGTTGTAAACAAAATAGCATCAGGAGAAACACTCATTTCCAACAAGATGTTCTTCACATCTTGCAAGCGATAATTCTCTATCAATTTTTCGGTTACTTTTGTTATATCTATTATTGTTGGTGCTTCCATTTGGTTGAATAGTCTAATTACCATTTCTAGATTTCCAGAAGTACAATACGAATTGAGCAAACAAGACTTGTTCTTTTCGCTCAATGGCACCAAATTGTTGTCCAGTGTTTCGTACCAAAACTGTGCCTTTTTTTTGAATTTGGGACTTGTGGTCATAGCGTTCAAGATCATGTTCCACAATGTCGGAGAAATTCTTTTAAATTCGTTTGGTGCAAGTGTGGAGAGGATTTGATTAACTTCTTCTAAATATTCATCTTGAATCCATTTCTCTTGATTAGTTCGCTTGCTAGCAAAATACATGGACGTTAGAGTATTAACTGAACGTTTTGAAGAAACCCTCTCAAATATTCTTTTACAATCATAAAAGTTAATTTCCTTCTTGTTCAACAAGAAGACAGCGTCAAAATCATTAGGGTTTTTAAAATATTCTTGTAGTGCTGCGGTGGGGTTTTTTGGGTCAAATAAGTCTTTCACCTTTCCTAACTTTTTTAATGAGGTTGCAAAGTGGCGAAGTGTGAACATTTTTTTGATGAAGAACCCCACCATTGGAAGATCCTAACATATTTTGAAAATGTTTGTGAAATTATTATCTTGGGGTTTCCTGATAGTAATTAGTCTGGTTGGCATGATTGTGCTGTGTTGCTTTTCAGCAATTTATACATTCATCTTGCCAATCAATGATCTCAAAACCTCTCTTCCATTTCAATGTGAAGATTCACTCTCTACGATGGTGACATTCTCTGTTACTTTATTCAGAATTCTATTCATGTTTGTAATACCACCACAATACTTATACATCAGATCAATAGTACACATGATTCTCTCATTGGTTGTGGCTGTTGTGCAAATTTATACATTATCCTATTTCAGAAGATTTGAGAATACTATCCATTTTGCAAGTACACTTTGCTCAGTTGGTGCTAGCATTGGAGTGTTGGTATCATCATTGGTGAATTCTAAAATGGAAGACATGATGGGAATTGCAATGTTTTTCGGAATAGTTCTTGGATTGTCACTTATCTTCTCCATTATTGGTGTATTGATTGGAGAAATTTACACTAGATCAATCATGAGAAGAATACGGTCAATAATGAAATCTCCATCTGCTGTTGTTGGCCATATGGCTAGTAGGAATTCCTATTCTCGACAAGACTCTTATTCTACAGAGAAAGAATCGGCCGAAATCTATCTTTCATTAGAAAATTCTCTAAGACAACTGAAATTGTTTTTGAGATTTTGCTCTTCCGCACAAGATATTGAATTGGTGGTTTCATTTATTAAGGGAATTTCCACAAAGAAACAGTTTAATGATCCCAAGTTGATAACAACTTCAGCCATAATGATCGGACACAGATGGAATGATACAAATAGGTATAATTTTTCAGTTTATCTATTAAAGAAAGCCTCTCGTTTAGGAGGAAATTATTGGGAAACTCTCAATATGCATTATAGAGTGAAACAATTTGAAAGAGATCAAAGTAATTTGTCATTTCAAGGTCGGTACACATTAGAGATTAAGAATGCAATTTCTATTCTTGAAAAGAAACAAGAGGAGCTCAAAATTGCTCATAAAGCATTCTGGAAAGAGCTTACTATTGAAAGGCCAAATACATCAAAGCTAGCCAATTTAAACTCTCTTTCAGCAAAATTAACTAGGCATTGTGATGAAAATTTCGGAATCTTGATGAAGAATTTCCCACATGATAAAACTGTTATACGGCACTATGCTAAATATGTGGAATCCATCAAGTTGGACAAAAACTTATCAAGTCAACTGTTTGAAGAAGCGACAGTTCTAGAAGATAAGGAATCAAATCATTACAAACAACCAAACTTGAAACGAAATTTAAGGTCAAGTTTGAGAATCTACCCTGTTGATAGAAAGGCCTTCAGAGAAGATGATGATGAAATTCTCACAAACAAACAAGATTTTGAAGGAATAGAAAATCTCTCAGAGAACAAAAAGGAAGAAGCTTTGCGAAATGCTCTCAGCTCTCCTTACCAATCCAAAATAAGAACAATTGCTTATGCTTTCATGTTCTCCTTATGTATTGCTACGGTGGTTGTTTGTTTTGCATTAACTAATTATTATCAAACATTATTATCAAAATATCCTCTTATTAAGGATTCATGTTATATCCAGAGTACTTATGGTGGTTTATTTAGAAATTTGAGAATGGCTCAGATAGTTTGGGAGTTTTATGATGATTTAAAAACTCCATTTCCATTGGTTAATACAACAGAATACGATAATATACAATTGTTCAACAGCACCTTTATGGAAAAGATTGAACTAAAGAGAGAAGCGTTAAGAAAGTTGGAGGAGAACTCCAATTCAGGCGTATTTACACCTGGAATGTTTACTGATTTTACAATAGAAGATAAGCTTATCAATATTCCACTCCCTAACGATACAGGAATAAGGAAAGAGTTTACTAACATTTTTAAAAGATATGCTTCTTCAAGAGAAGTAAACTCCGTCATTTTGGAACACATTGAAAATTCAGTTATGAATGGAAAGATGAAATTTTATGAAGTTGTAACGAGGTAAGAAGAATTCAAATTTATAATATTAATATTGTAGTTATGAGTTTATGTATATTTATCAAAATAGAAGAACAGGAGCTGATGCTTTCTTAGCATTTTGTAAATCGATGCAAGTTAGCCAAAAGACCTTTATCGATGAAACTAGAAATCTCTTACTCAATATTGTTATTGGCATTGGTATTTCTGTACTGGGAATTTTTTTGACATTCTTAATAATATCAAGAATTGAAATGGAGATATTTTCTATTGTACTCTCCATGTTCAAAAAATTGCCAAAAGACATTCCTGGTTTCATTTATCAGGATTTGGAAAAGCAATCCAAACATGATGAGATGAAAAAATTTGACAAACAGTTAATGCCTAATGAAAAGAATAAGACCTTAATTGTTGGATTAATCATATGCGTCTTGATAATAGTTTCCATCGTTTTGTTTTATTATGAATTTTCAGATAATACTGACAAAGCAGAGCAATGTTCAACATTGATTTAGCCAGTTACATGGTGAGAGTTTCTAATAGAATGACTCAAAGATTGAATGAAATATTTTCATATAAGGTACTACCTCTTGGAAAAGCTGTTAATCATCCAGCTGTTGTCACTAGTGCACTTGCTGATCAATACAGATTAGAAAATAGAGATCACGTGCAAATATTACATTCAAGTTACAATCAAATAGTATATGGATCAAATAATACTGACAAGCTAATAGGAATTTTTGATGAAATAGATGAAATGTTAATTGGTTCAAATTGTAATACTACTGAGCACATGAATAATTGTACAAGCCTCATTGATTTAATCACGTTTTTCTGTGTTAAAGCTGCAGAAGCCACAGAGAACTTATTCAATCCTCTAAATGCTAAGAAAACCATTGAAAAATTTTATGATGTTTTGTATCTTTACAACTTGAATGACTTTGTTACAACTAGAATCAATCACTTTTTAGATTTGATAGTAAAATATACTGAAAGCCCAAATAGAACTCTCTCAATAATTGTATTATGCATAACTATAATTTCTATGCTAGTACTGGGATGGTACTTCTATAGATGCATAACAGAGTTTGACAATGAGATGACTATCCTTAGATCCTTCCTTGCATATGTCCCATCAGAGTGGATAGAATCTAATGAAGAGTTTAAAAACTTTGTATTTTACAAAACTATTCCCATGTGGAATTTCAAGAAATCAAATTCTGCAGTTAAAGGTTCAGATGCAGTTAGTAATATTCTACAATCAATGATTGATGGAGCTTTCATAGCAAATGAAAAATCAGAAATCCTATTATTCAACAATGCAGCTCAAAAGATGTTCTCCAAGAACCCGTCTGAAGTTATGGGATTACCTATGCAACATTTGTTTGACTCATCTCATGAAACTGCGTTGAAACAATTCATAGATAACAGAAACAAGTATTTGGAATCACAAGGAGGTGAGCTATATGAAGTAGATTGTGTAAGAAAAAATCAAACAAGATTCCCAGCTTCCCTCAATCTGTTTGTTACCAGGAATGAGGATAAAAAGACAATTATTGTTGGATTTTTCAAAGATATAACTATGGAGAAGAAACAGAATAATCTTCTCAATGAAGAAAAGAAGAATTCAGATATATTACTTAGGAATATCCTTCCAGAAGCAGTTGCCATCAAATTGAAATCAGGCGAAACTGAAATTGCAGAAAAATTCCAAGATATTACTTGTTTCTTTTCGGATATCTGTACACAAACTCCCTCCGCTTTTTTAACGGGATCCCAACTTTGATGACCCACAACAGAATAGTTACTTAGTGATTCATCATAATTTAACTTGTATGGTGTGCGCCTATATGTTAACTATCATCAGAATTGTTTTCAGCAGTTTATGTGTAGTAGGTCGATTGAAAACCTCAATTGAGTGAAAACATATATGAAAATTTCAAAATCCAATAAAACCAGAACCAGTATATGCCAAGCTCCAAATATCGAGATATGTACTCAAAACATCTTGAAATATAACCACAATCATTGGTTTGTTGATATTTATTGTCTGGACAAAGATATGCAGGGTTAAAGTTGAGCTATTTTTCAAACTCAACTCAGTTGAAGTGGAACTGAAATGGAAGGTTGTTTCGGACTGAGTACCAAATAAGCAAATAAAGTCAAACAACAAATATTTAAAAAATTTAAGTTTTATTATTGTTTCTACAACCAAAACAATATTGGTTGTAGTTGTATGTTCAGGAACACAATATTCACCAATGGGAATGTCTTCCTCCTCCATGAGAACCATAACAGGTCATTCAAAGAGAACTGTGATGAGAGCAGAAGTGGCAACAACCATGTGAACGGAAGATAGCTTCCTGTATTGCTTGCAAGTCTTATCTGGTAGTGTGGTGGGGCATGATGAAGAGAAAGGACC